TTTAATTTAATTTTCTTTACAATAAATATTTAAAGAATTTACAATAGATTTAAAGCCGCAGCTTAAAGGCATTGTTCTTTAGTGGCGAGCGTCTTAAGAATGTTCGAGAAGGTGGCGAGCTCCCTCTGGTGGCGCAGCCAGATGGCCTCCCATTGGTCAGCGATGACGTAGCTCTTCTTTCTCTCTCCGCCGCGCGCCGCCTTCTGCCACCTATGTTCAGAATAAAACTAAACATACTCCCCTCCTGTGGACGTAGTCCACACACAAGGCAAAAGAAAAGGATCACATAGTGTAGAAAGTTTTTTTTTTGAAGAAGAAGAATTAGAATGGCAGAAGTGCAATCTTCGAGATGGGTCTTATTAGATGATGTTGTTTCTCTGTTTGAAGTCCCACAACTCGGACAAAGCCATCCGCTCCAGGTGACACCTTGGTGACGCGGCCAAGGCTCCACTGCATTGAAGGCATAGGAATGTCTTTTACCAACACCAAATCTCCAACCTTCAGGTTGGAAGAGGGTTTTTTTCCATTTGGACCGTTGTTGCAGATTGTTTAGATATTCCCTGGACCATCTTTGCCAGAAAACATCTCTGGCCTTTTGAATTAATTTCCATCTAGTTAAGTCGTTGTCATTAGGGTGATAACTGGGCTCTGGGAGTGCTGTTAATGGTCTTCCAATAAAAAAATGTCCTGGAGTGAGAGGGTTGAAATCATTTGGATCCGAACTCATCGGATACAACGGGCGAGAATTCAAGCACGCTTCAATTTGACTTGTCAGAGTATTGAGTTCTTCAAAATTTAAAACTGCAGATTTTAAACACCTTAGGAGATGATACTTCAATGATTTAATTCCTGCTTCCCAAATGCCGCCGAAGTTTGGAGCAAATGGAGGTATAAAATGCCAAGTGATGTGTTCATTAGCGACATAATTTTGAATTGAAGAATCCTTTACAAGTTGATGTATATTATTCAAAATATTCTTAGCTCCTTTAAAGTTAGTAGCGTTGTCGGTGAAAATATCAGAGGGTTTTCCTCGACGAGAGATGAATCTTCTAAAAGCAGCGAGGAAGGCAGGGGTTGACAGATCTGAAACTATCTCAAGGTGAAGAGCCTTCGTTGAGAAACAAATGAATAATGCTATATATGATTTTGATGTTACTTTTGTTCTTATGCCATTAGATTCAGTTATAAATGGTCCTGCGAAGCCTATTCCTGTTTTGCTAAACGGGCTTGAGGGTATGATTCTATGGATAGGCAGATCTCCCATGATTTGTTTTGACACTTGGCGTTTCGTCTTGAAACATGTCATGCAACGATTAATGAGCTTTTTTACTAGAATTCTACCGGATGGAATCCAGTACTTTTGTCGGATGGCACACAGAGTTAATTGGAGACCAGAATGATGCTCTACGTGGAATTGTTGAACAATCAATTCTGTAACAAAATGGTTGTGAGGAAGAATTATTGGATGCTTACATTGAATTGCAGAACCAGTATCAATCAAAGCTCTGCATGGATGAAACGATCCATTTTCTGCTCTCACTCTCACGATAGCAGTAGATAATAAGATTGTCTCATTGGGCTTTGTTGTATCACTGAGAAAACATGAAACGCTAGATTGGGCAATTGGAGCTTTAATTGAAGTGGTATTCAAAGATTCGGGTTGGAAGGAATGCAAAAGAGTGTGATGTTTTTGTTGCATGATTTACAATGCATAGTGAATTTACATGACGTTACTCTGTGGTTGGATCGCAAACAATTGAAACAAAGGTTATTGGTTTTGACTATGTTCCATATTTCAAGGAGAGAACTTTTATGGAACTTGTCACATTTGAATATAGGATGTGAATTTTTGCATAATAGGCATTTATCATCACCTTTTGAAATAGAATTATATACATGTGTTTGTTTCACTACAGATTTATCCTCTTTAGCATAACCTTTTATCGATTGCAAACTTTTTGCTTGTTTTTCAAGAAACATAATAAAATTTTCGTAGGATGGAAAGCCATCATCTATCAACGTCAATTCCCATTGCCTTTTCAAATCATCACCTATTCTTCTTTGTAGGAAATGTATTAGAAAGATATCAACAAGTGTATTTCTCTCCAAACCCAGTGATTTCAAATTTCTCATGGCTTCATTACTTATATCTAGTAGTTCGAAAATGGCCTTGGAATTTATTAGTTTTAAAGGTTTTAAAGTGAATAATTTTGTACATTGTGAAAAGGCAAGTTCTTTTTTGTTATCATATCTGGAGACCAATGCGGCCCAAGCATGGGCATAGTTTTCATCAATAACAGGAAATCCCCTAATAAGTCGTTCAGCGTCTCCAGTAACAGCTGATTGTAAATATTGCAGCTTTTGTGAATCAGTTAGAGCGGTATTGGAATCAATAGACATAGAAAACAATTGCTTGAAACTAAGCCATTCGTTAACATCACCAGAAAAGGAAGGTAAATTAAATTTAGGAAGTTCTATTTTACTTGTGGTTGATTGATTTAGATCATCAATTTTGCTTGAAATGGCTGTACAAGATACTTTATTGATATTCGCCACTAAATTTCTAAGATTATCATTGTATTGCATAACTCTAGAAAAGTAAACTTCATCATCAAATTCAGAAAATGTTAAAAGATTACAATAAGTTTTTTCAATGTTAGATTTTATATCTAAATATCTTGTTTAAATGTCTGTAAATTTGCATCATCCTTCGCTTCAATTATCTTGAGCGAAATTTGCTCAAAATAATCCACTTGTTTGAAATGAAATTCAAGAATATTTAAAGTAGCTTTAAATTTGGCATCCATTTTGGCAGCCATCTTTAATTTTTGCTATTATTAATTTTAATAATATATCAAAAATGAATTATCTATATTAATAAAATGCAAATTTCATAAGAGGACATCACTAAAAACTTTCGTTACATTGCATCAATTTCGACCAAATTTTCAACATTTATGTAAAACGAGATGGAGCAGGTTTTGCTTAACGTCAAAATATTTTTCCCTAACATTAACATGCGTAACTTCGCTGTTATCGATTAAATACAAAAAAATCAACAGAGTTAATTTTATTTATATATAAATACAAAATTAAATTTCAACAGAGTTAATATTTTTACATACTAGCTAATAATCTCAATCTAAAAATATAATATAAAAAGCCAACAATGAAGAGTGAATGTAAGATAAAAAGCCAACAATGAAGAGTAAATGTAATATAAAAAGCCAACAATGAAGAATGAATGTAAGATAAAAAGCCAACAATGAAGAGTGAATGTAATATAAAAAGCCAACAATGAAGAATGAATGTAAGATAAAAAGCCAACAATGAAGAGTGAATTTAAGATAAAAAGCCAACAATGAGTAGTAAATGTAATATAAAAAGCCAACAATGAAAAATGAATGTAAGATAAAAAGCCAACAAAGAAGAGTAAATCTACTTATATAATTGCCTTATTCTGTCTGTGTGAAGTTCACTGTGTGAAGTTCACAGATAGATTTTGGTCAGAATATAATATAAAAAGCCAACAATGAAGAGTAAATATGATATAAAAAGCCAACAATGAAGAATGAATGTAAGATAAAAAGCCAACAATAAAGAGTAAATGTAATATAAAAAGCCAACAATGAAGAATAAATTTAAGATAAAAAGCCAACAATGAAGAGTAAATATAATATAAAAAGCCAACAATGAAGAATAAAGGCAATGTGACACGGGAAAAAATGTTCACTAGATAAAACTATGATTTTCTAATGTAGAAAATTAGGAAAGACAAAATTCAGGATGACACGGCACACAGGGACCGGGAAAAATGTTCACTTTATCGAGAGATTCAAATTTACGAGTTTCAAATTATCAAAATATATCTTTTTTTTTTAAATAAGTTTTTAGAGAATTGTTTTAACAAATGTTCGCTAGACAAACCTTTACTCGGGTAAAACCCCGGGCGAAGCCGAGTACGTTTTATAAGTTTATAGAGAATTGTTTTAACAAATGTTCGTTAGACAAACATTCACTCGGGTAAAACCCGGGCGAAGCCGGGCACATCCGCTAGTAATTATATATATATAAATAATTATTTAATAGATTTATTCCCGGGTTTCGGCACCAATGTTTTGTTTCCCACTTGGCAAATACGCAAGGAGGAAAAGCAGAATGATTGTTTACAAAACAATTTGTTCTCGTTAGGCCTTAATTGAATAGAATGTTTTATAATAACTTAAAGAAACAAATGTACTTATCCTTGGTCAGGCAATTATCCCAAGCTTTACAAATGAATTTATTTCAATTTTCTTTACAATAAATATTTAAAGAATTTACAATAGATTTAAAGCCGCAGCTTAAAGGCATTGTTCTTTAGTGGCGAGCGTCTTAAGAATGTTCGAGAAGGTGGCGAGCTCCCTCTGGTGGCGCAGCCAGATGGCCTCCCATTGGTCAGCGATGACGTAGCTCTTCTTTCTCTCTCCGCCGCGCGCCGCCTTCTGCCACCTATGTTCAGAATAAAACTAAACATATATAAATTTTAATAGATTTTGTAGAAAGTTTTTTAGTAATAGATAGCCTGGGCTGTAATAACTGGTATATAGTTATATGCTGTAAATAGCTCTAAATTTCTGTTCTTATTTGTGATGTTCACTAATACTCATTATAGGGTAAATAAACCGTTAACCAATTGACAAATACGTTAATAATTTCTATTTATAATAACTAAAATCATATTAATAATTACTGTAAATAAGCTCCCAAACTTGTGTATGCATGCAAATATCCAAGACGGATATCGCGTGCTTTGTAAATGATAATAAATAAATAAATCTTTATGAAAAAAACGTGAAACTCACATTTATTGCTTTCTTTTTTCTTTCCATAATTTTAAGATATCATCCTTGTGAGCACTCAGAATGAAACAACAAAACTAAATTCAGAAAAACTATACTTATATTTACCAATAATAAAATATAAAAGTATCAGAGTCATCAACAATTCTGTTACCGTTTGCTTTTGGTTCAGTGGTACTCGTAGAATGCTTGCCTGCCACGCGGGCGCCCCGGGTTCGATTCCCGGCCAATGCATTTTTTTTTTTTTTACAATTTTTAAAACTCATTTATATTATTAAAATATATGTGCTTTTCCTGTCTATGTACAGATTTATGGTCTATCTACACAAGTATAAAAGTATGTATACAAGTTATTTGCAAATTGCGTTGCACATTTGCCCTTTCGCTCGCAAGCAGCGCCTCTAGCGGTGAAGATAGGAGGTAATATCAGCTGACCTAATTAACATGTAAAACGTGTTTTAACAGAACATAGAGAAAATCTGGAAAATATATTTTTCGGATTTTTAGTCAAGAAAAATAAATTGAGAGGTTCTGGGAAAAAAGTAGTTGTTTTTTATTCAGAAAATGATGATGACAATATTGCTGTATCATATTTGATTATCAGATACAAAATTATATCCGGAAAAATTCCAAAAAGCAGAGACCACGGGTGAAGCCAGTTCATTTTTAGTATGCAGGAATAAAATTCTAACAGAAAAACATTCATTCGAGCAGAAGACACAAAGCCAGATCATTTCTTTATAAAAATATCGCTTCTCAGACACAAAGTTTGGAGCGGGACGTTTCACAAGAGTGACATCCACGGCGCCAATTTATAATTGTAACGAATAGTATTTGAATAAAGGCATTTAATCGGGTAAAACCCGGGCGTTGCCCGGGTCATTCGGCCAGTCCATTATATTCTCGACATTTGAGTGATTCTGTTACTCTACTAAGAGGATTGATTATTTTGAATCCTATTTCTACTTATGACGTATACGATTTCCTAAAGTACATGTAAAATGTCATATATCTGAATATACTCAGATATTTACATATAGTTTAGAAAATCGGGTATGTATATAAGTAGAAATAGGAATCAAAATAAATATTCCTCTGAGGAGAGTCAAGGCGAGTCACAGAAACGCCGGGAATTAAATAAATAAACAATTGGTTGATGTATTTGTTCCAAACCAACTTCCAACCAAGAATTCAAAACAATATAAATTTGTAAGACAAAGAAATTTCGCCAATTCATTGGCGTGTAGAGTTCTCATAAAGGGAATAGTGCTGACTGGGAAAATTCATTTAGAATGGCACAATCAAAAAACAGGTCAACAATCAAAGTCAATCTTAATTGGTGTTTTACAGACTTGGTGAAGTTTTTATATTAATAAAGAATAAGTATGACCAAGAGAGAATCTCTATGGGGTTTACTACACATGGACAAACATACAGCTTAATACCACCGGTCTTATACACCGCAGGTAGGAAGCATAGCTGAAACTCCTATATATTTCAAACAACCAAGATATACGAGATGTGTTCAAAAAGTATCGCGAATTTTGAATTTTCGCTTGTTACGTATATTCGAATTTCGATCTTTTTGTGGCTTTATGTTGGTACTCATTTCTCTCACTTATGCCGACAAGCTCGGCCATTTTGAATGTTCACTTAATTGTTGACAGCTGCTTTGCTTGCAGGTGTTTTGGATCGTCTTCGATTTTTACCTATTAAAAAAAATGGATCAAAGAACCTGTATCAAATTTTGTGTGAAAAACGAAATTAAGTGCGCGGATGCATTCCGAATGTTGACTGTGGCATACGGAGAAGCTACCTTGGACCGAAGCAACGTTTATCGGTGGTACAAAATGTTCTCAGAAGGCCGAGAAGATGTGAACAACGAAGGGCGTGCCGGACGCCCGAGCACTTCAACAACAGACTAAAAAATTAATGAAGTGGAGAAAATGATATTGGCCAATCGTCGAATCACCGTTAGAGAAGTTGCTGAGGACCTAAACATGTCGATTGGCTCGTGCCATTCGATTTTTATCAATGATTTGGGCATGAGACGGGTCGCCGCGAAATTCGTACCAAAATTGCTCAATTGCGACCAAAAACAGCATCACATGAACATTGCTAATGAGATGTTGGGCTCTGTCCGCGACGACCCAAATTTGCTCCAGAGGGTCATAACTGGTGACGAAGCGTGGGTTTATGGTTATGACGTGGAAACCAAAGCTCAATCATCTCAATGGAAGCTGCCACACGAACCAAGACCGAAAAAAGCGCGCCAAGTTCGGTCGAATGTGAAAGTTTTGCTAACAGTTCTTGCCACAGGGTAGAACGGTCAATAAGGAATATTACCTGCAAGTTATGCGCATTTTGCGCGAAGCAATCCGCCAGAAACGCCCGGATTTGTGGAAGAACAAAAATTGGCTTTTGCACCACGATAACGCCCCTGCTCACACATCGTTGCTTGTGTGCAACTTTTTGGCCAAAAACAACACACTAATGTGATGCCGCAGCCACCGAATTCCCCAGATCTGGCCCCCTGTGACTTTTCTTGTTCCCTAAACTGAAGAGGCCCATGAAAGGATGACGTTACGCTACGCTTGACGAGATAAATACGGCATCGAAGGAGGAGCTGAAAAGGGGTGTGGAAGGTTAATTGCTAATTTTTTCAGGAAAAAATGCAGCCTATTGTAATCAAATCAACGATCGGCCCAGCTGGCGAAAAGGTCAGTATAATCGAAACCAACATACTTTTGAAAATTCTTGAAAGATGTGGCATCGAGTACAAAGTAGAAGAAACTCTTTCAACAAAGAAACGAACTCGCGAATCTCCATCAGATTCAACATCACGTAGCCATAAGACACCGAGAATGGAAGTTGTCTCACAGCATAATGAAAACGATGTCTCCATGAACGAGGTAACTGAAGTCCCTCAAGAAACGTCCGCAGCTACCCCTCCTCAGGTTAACGAAGAAGACATTGATGAAGATGGTCCTTTGACAAAAGTCACACATGCAAAAAAGCCAAGAATACCACCTGTAATAGCAGAAAATGTAACAGACTGGAAGTTGCTCTGCCAAGAGCTGAACGACCTGTGCACAGATAAATTCCAATGTACGATCTCAGGAAATAAGCACATTATCAAGGCCAAAAATATTTCAGACTTCAAAAAAATCAGGGAATATGTTCAAAAAAATAATGGCGGCTACTCTTATAGACTCCAAGAAGAAAAACCGCTCAAAGTAGTATTAAAGGGCGTGACAACAGCCTACAAGACCGAAGATATAGCAATAGAACTTGCAACAATGGGCTTTACTGAGACCTCTGTGAAGAGACTTCATAGACAATCAACTAAAAGGCCAATGAATTTAGTACTGGTAGAATTACCGAAAAATGAACACAACAAGAAAATTTACGGAATAACTGAACTTCTCTATCAGAAAATTGCAGTAGAATCTTTCAGAACAACAAACCGTGTGACTCAATGCTTCAACTGCCAGGGTTTCGGGCACGGTCAACTTAACTGCTTCCTGAAACCAAAATGCGTTAAGTGTGCCGAGGAGCACCATTCGAAGGACTGCCCAAGAAAGTCAAGACAACTTCCCCCAAAGTGTGCAAACTGCGAAGAAGCGCACATAGCCAATTACCGCGGATGCCCTAAGTTTCCAAGAGTATATCAGCAACAGCCAAGATACCCTGGTCAGTACAAACCTAACAACCCACTTCCAGTTTCAAAAAGATCTGAAACACTGCCGAAAATGGTAGAACAACAAAATTAAAGCAATGCTGAGGTTGTGACAAGAAAAACGTCTCGTTCTGAAACTAAGGACCTGTGTGAAAAATTGATGCAAGTAATCAAAACGTACCTACAATGATTTGCAAATTACCTTTTAAAATTATTGCTTGGAATGGTAACGGAATCATATCAAAGAAAGAAGAATTATTGCACTTTTTAGAAGATAACTCAATTGACATTGCTCTGCTTAGTGAAACTCACCTTAAACCCTCAATTGATCTAAAGTTCAGGAACTATCAAACCATTAGAACTGATCGAATTACAGGAAAAGGTGGAGGAACAGCCATCATTATAAAATCCTTTTTAAATATAAAAATATGCTGATTCATACTTTAAACTTGTAAAATACTTCAATTTTGATAAAACCAGATGGAAAAACACTCTTGAAAATCACAGCAATTTATAAGAAGCCTGATGCACCATTATTGGAAGAAGATTTGAACCAACTGATAAAACACAACCACTCAATAATCGTTGCAGGAGACTGGAACTCCAAACACCCTCTTTGGGGATCAAGGACTTCAAATAACAGTGGAATCGTACTGCACAATTTCTCTGAAAGAGAAAGCCTCGACATTGTCGCACCTTCGTCACCCACGCATTACAGTCCACTCGGCAATCCCGATTTCCTAGACTTCGCTGTACTTAAAAACATTCCCTGGACCCCAAAGGCCAGAACCACCGACGATTTATCATCTGACCATCTCCCTGTAATCTTTGAATTGAATTGCCCAAAGGATGAATTCACAACCCAGCTCAGCCGAGTAACTAATTGGGTTTATTTTCAACAAGATCTAATCTCCACCACGCCCCCCAGACTCCCCTTGAAAACTGAAGTAGACATTGATTCAGCAGTTGGAATTTTAAACGAGAAAATTAATAATAGCTACTCGAAAAACACCATAGTCTCATCCTCCAAATTAATAAAGAACCCAAAAACCAAAGCCTTAATAAGGGAGAAAAATAAAGCTAGGAAAAGATGGCAATCAACCTGGGATCCAGCTCATAGAGCTACTTACCTCAATCTTCAAGGAAAGGTAAATCAAGCCCTTGAAGCAGAGAAATCTGAAAATTGGAATAGTTTTTTAAGCAAACTTGAATCGAGCCCAACAGACTTCTGGAAAAAAACAAAACCCATTAGGAAAAAAACTGACAAAATCACTAGTTTAAATGCAAATGGAAAAACCTTGCTGACCGACAAAGAAATTGGAAATGATCTTTCAGAGCATTTTTCCAAACACTTTTCCAAGGCGGATGATGAGGTTCCGTCTTACCTAACAGATAACACTTGCCATCATCCCCAAGAGAATATACTATCAATGACAACGCCAAATGAAGTCAAGGAAGTGATTAAAAACCTAGGTAATCACAAAGCTCCAGGCCACGACAATATTACGCCGCAAATGACTAAAAACCTCCCCATCAAATGGATAGTTTTCCTCGC